CTTGGGCTTTGCTTGGTGGGAATATATCAAGAAGGCCAATCTCATGAGGGTCGACATCCAGGCGAGGTTGGTCAGGAAGAGAGCTTGTTACAGCTTTTTTGACATGTCGCCCTTGGACTCGGACCATAGTTTCTTTTTCGCCGCATGAAATCGCTAGGATCTAGCAGAAGATGGCTTGGAGAGTGATGAAGAGTGGATGAGACCTGTGAATGAGCAACATGTCACTGAAAGGACACCGGTTCTTAGTACTTCGCCCTTTGGCTTCTCTCCAGCTGCCAGAGCAGCTCCTCACTTTAATAACTTTGGTCCAACGTGACCTGCCGCCTCCACAGCGAGACGACCACAAAAACAGGCAGAGCATGCCCTTTTGAAGCATTGAGGTCATTGGAGCCTTGGGCCCAAAATTGTGCGTGAGGTGCCCTTTCATGTATGTAGTACTGTTTGTTTGCAACCACAAAGTTGGATGGTTGAGCTGAGAGCCCTTGGCGGAGAAGGGATGTGCCGAAAATGCGTCTTTTAGAGGGATTCATTCATGATGCATCAGTGCTCTACGATAGATAGAATAGCAAGGCTGTCTCAAGGACCAAATTGAAGGGATTGAACGCCAAAAGTGATTGGCAGAGGAACCCCATTGAAATTTCCTCTATAGAATATGGTACCCCAGGGGTTGAAACAAGGCATTTTACAGTAGTGGTTCGAGGATGGAGTCCCCTGGGTTACCCTATTCTACATTGGACTGGTGGTCAGGATTATGGAGGTCAAAAACAGTTCTAGGTTTGGTAGCGTGATTCTATAGCAGGAAGGAAGGAAGGAAGGAAGGAAGGAAGGAAGGAAGGAAGGAACCTGAGGGTAAAATTTTTAGCAGGATGGCGCAATTAACGCATTTTATGGGCCACCCAAAGGGATAAAGTTCAGAATTGGGAAGATCCCTTTCAACGGGCCTTTCCCCCCAGGCCATGAAATTTGCAACTTCTCTTTGATTTCCCGACTGCTACCAAAATCTGACTTTGAAGGGCCACAGCCCTGCATGAGCTTTCCTCCCCCCTTCCATGTTTGTTCCATTGCCAGTTAATTTAACTTAATTTTTCTTGGGAATCCTTGCTCAAAAAAAAAAACAAAACAAAACTGCCAAATTCAATTCTGGCCCGTGGTTGGCCAACTGAAGAACAGGGATGACAATGGATATGGTACCCGGTTTTGTTTGACGCAGACTTGAACATTGCGTGAGCCGTGAGACTCACTAGTATCATCAGGAATCTTGCGATCAGTTTGGACTGATGGATTGACGAACCAATCCATTCTGAAGCCTTTTAAACTGGCTCGAGCTTTGATCGTTCCGGCCATGGGGAAGGCTGGGCTGCCATGAACCGCTGACAGACTTGTTTTGGGCGAAGAGCTGTCAGTATACTTGAAGGCATTCCAAGCACTTAGTTTTTGCTTCGGTAACACTGGAGGTTTCCGCAGAACTTCACAGTCTGATGCTGCGCGGCGGCTTCAGATATGATGCGAAGAAGGACTGGCAATGTGGCAAGACAACGACAGAGTGCAGACAGAAGACAGCTTTGCAGTGCAGAATACCTTCACTTGCACAGCTTCAATCAACCGTTTGTTCACCGATTTTTCTTGGTGGCTTTGGCCTGGGTTGGTTGTCGAATTGTTTGGCACTTGAGAGCTCAAGAGACCGGAGAGGACAAGTATTTCATGGCCGGAGAGGCGACTCGTTCACTCTTCATGCGAGAAGCACCAGCCAGCGATGGCCTTCAACCTAAAAGGAATGGCCTCCAACCTAGGAGACTTGGCAACTCTGACGTCTTTTGATTTAGTTTGTTTTCCAATTGACACACACACACACACTTTTCTAGGCCGAATGGGACAGACAGAAGCGCATCGACAAGGGAAAGAAGTGAGCAGCTCAGATATTTGCATGTGTCACACGTGTCATCCATATGTTCAGTAGAACAATGTAGAACACACTGGGTGTTTTTTGGCAGATGCAATACGAAGACGTCGTTTGTCTAACTACCCAGTAGCTCCCCAGACTCTGATTTCTTGCTGTTCAGCTATAGATACATTGACATATATATATATATAGGGGATAACCAGTCAATGGCACGAGGAGGCGCCCTATGATATGCGGGAAAAAAATGCGATCCAGTTGTGATCCCCTATAAATAAATAAATATATATAGACTCTAACATGACGACGTTTGGACAGAAGAATGCAAAGACTCGAATGGAAATGCAAAGATGGGGGCTCTGAATGGAAGAATGCTCGGTCTAGCCCAACAGGAAACTGGAGATAGGGAGAGGTTGAGATCTCGCTCAGGCAATATGCTGTTCCAGCAAGTAGCTTGGAGGAGTTTCACCAAGAGGAGGACCGTCGCCGCAGGATTGATCGAGTTAGCCTTTTGATGCTACGTTTTGTTTTCTGATGTGTTGCTTAATGTCCTCCTGGTGATTGTTTGCGTTGGAGTCTCTCCCCTTTCTCCTGCAAACAGTTGAGGTTGTTTGACTGGCCAAATGCAACTTTGCCGGGAGCAGGCTAAATCTCATCTCATCACCAGGAACAACACGTGGTGTGGTCGGAATCAGAACAACATTGCGATGCAACAAATACATAAAAGCGTATTTGCGCACTCGCGCACGATTGTGTAGTGTAGTGCAGGGACAAAGTCACACAGCCCTCTCAAATCCTTAGCACACGATCCATGTGCCACCTCCACGTGAAAATCAAACCAAGTTGAAAAATAAGTTTTAAAGCATTATCAGTTCTGAAGGCACAATAGGCGCAACAACACGGCCTGCATTTCATGCGTTTCACCTTATCAAAAACCATTCAAAGAATGAATACCATTGAACCATGAAAGGCTTTTGGAGGGCTTAGTGGCCCCACACTCCTTGCATCGTCTTTTGTCATGTGGACATGGCCACCTGGTGCCCGGCAGGAGAAGATGGTGGACTCTTTACTGGAACGCTTAAAACAAAAGGCTTCTGCAGAGGCCGCTGGATCTTTGGGATGCAAAAGCCAGTGATCACCACAAGGACTTCTACAAATTGATGCCTTTGTTTTCAATTTGTTCCTGTTGAAGACACTACTGTGAGGCAGTCCTCAAAAGTTCTATGATGTTCTTATGATTCCAGGGCATCCGAATTGGAAGAAGCGTGGTATGCCATGCCCACTGGATAGCAGTCATACAGCATCCGACGCCTATGGCCTATGGAAGACACAAATACACAGCGCAAGAGAGAGAGAGAGAGGTAGCCATGGCAACCTAGAAGCAATGGCCTCCAACCTAATAGCGATAGCCTCCATCCTAATAGAGAGAGAGAGAGAGAGAGACGTAAGAGAAGCAAACATTTTCGCCTGGAAAGGATCTGGGACGGGGGACAGGTTTCACTTGCCTGAAGCCATCACCGACGCCGACCCGCGGATGCACCCGCTGATGCCCTTGACTTACACAACCTGCACCACCTGTCTGAAAGCTGACCCATTTTTTGCGTCCTGAGTTTGGACGACAGCTTTGGTTTGACACATGTCACCATACCCCTCACCCATGCAGTGACTCAACATTGCTACTGGCGCTCATTTTCGCGTGATCTTGCCATGATGTCGACAGGGAAGATCTACATCTGCTGCAGATGGCACAGAGGCCCATGCTGGGCGCGCACAAATCCGCCACTTCATTTGGCAATGCACTTCTTTAAAAAAAAGTTCATGCCTTCGCATTTCTACTCCTGCAGCTTCTGAAGGACAAGCCGAAAAAAGCAAAGAGGAAGCAGGCCGAAGAGGAGGAAGAAGAGGAGGATGAAGAGGCTCAATCATTCCACCATGTGGTTGAATGTGGAATATCAAGCAAACACTCTACGATCAACAAGGCAGTTGAGTGGCACGCTTTGTTTAAGGCTGCCAGAAAGGCAAAGAAGAAGGCGAAGAAAAAGCAGGTTCCGAGCCAGCTACAAAGCAAGCTGTGGATTATGTTGGGCGCGCTTTGAATTGAACCCCTGTGCAGGAACTTGTTACTGGCGACAGCCCAACATTTTTTGAAACACCTTGGCGGTTGAAAGGTGGAGGAGGAAGAGGAGGAGGAAGAGTGAGGAAGGGGTGGAACTGAAGAGAAGTCATGAAAGAAAGACCGATACAGCATGGCTGTGCGGCTACGGTCCCATGTGCGGAAGTGACCTGTGTAAATGTGACACCATAGCCCCATGGCTGAACAAAGAAGCTACAGTACTGTACTAGTAACAAAGGGCATCGCTACTAGGAGCAAGGGCGCTACTAGTAGCTCCTGGCCTTACTACTAGTAACCAGAAGCTACTAGGTTGGAGGCCATCGCTATTAGAAACAAAGAATATACCATGTCATGTCAGACATCCCACCTCGGTTCCCAAAGCCGAAGAGTTTCACCCAGCTCGGTGAATGCCGGAGCACCCGTGCCTCTCACCAGAAAAGTTGACCGCGGTTGACCAACTACTGTCATGTTTGGTGTCGGGTGGCGGTCGTGGCTGCGTCTGGGAACTGCAGGGTGGCGGACAAGCGTGCTGTCAACTTGCCCTTCCGATGTTTGCTGTCGCCATCGCCATCCGTTTGAGACAGAGACAGAGAGGTCAAAGGATCGGTCAATGTGTATTTGAGACTGCTCAATGCCTATGTGATGGCACTCTGTCCAGGCTATGGTATCGGTCTCACAGCCTCTTGTTAAGGCCTTTTGAAGCTCATGATCACCTTTAGCCAGGATCAATGGAACACGTAATGTGTCGGGCGATGTCTCTGTACACAAAAATCATCAAGGTTCTGAACCCTTTATGCCTCTCCCTGCCCTCCAACCAGAGGAGCTAAGCAGGCCATGCGTTCATCAGACTTTAAGCAATGCCACTTCTCATCACTTGGCTGTTCTCTGTTTTTAGTAGGTTGGAGGCCATTGCTATTAGGTTGGAGGCAATCGCTATGAAAAACAAAGACAAACGAAAAGGAAGAAGTTGAAGAAAGGAATTCCTCTTGATTCGTGTTTGATTCCTCTTGCAGTCGTGGAATTGGCCTCACCAACTTGGCGCCATGTCGGCCATGGAGGCAAGGCGCCAGCTGGCGGAGCGCAAGGCGGGCGGAGATCTGTGAGGATTTCGTGAGGATCATCGCCGTGGGTGGCACCGGGGCGAAACATGAAGAGAATAGACCTGGGAGGTCGACCTACTCGTACCAGGCTGCACTGACATGTGAGTTATTGTATATGTGGCGATGTGTGGTTTGTCATGTGGATCATGAACTTCCGAAGCTCCTCTTACTTCCCCTTAGTCGAGGCGAAGGCAGCGGCTGAAGTGGAGGAGGCTGGGTGATGGGGATGGCTCTGGTCGCAGGCCACTTGGTGTTGACGTCCAAAATCATTTGTCTATGGTTCTCTAAACTTTGCTTGGAATTGGTCTCAAGAATCAGAGTGCCAGGTGTGGTCATGTCACACGGAGAAACTCCTTTGGGGATGGTGGGACCACCAGGCATCGTGCTCGTACGAAGGTATTTACACATTTGCGGCACGCGCTGGGTGGATTTCTTGTGCTTGCTGAGAATGAACACACTTCGAACTTGGATTGTCAGTTAACGCAATTTCCCAAGGAAAGGAATGGCTCAACGGTAAGGTGGAAAGTCAGCGCAATTGTAGATGTTTCAACAAAAAAGTTTTCATACGTGACTGCGGAAAGCGCACAGCGGCAAAACGTCTGCGGTGGGAAAACCTGTTTGGGGGTGGAAGCATGAAGAACCATGAATCAAATCGTGGAAAAGTAGGGTGACAGCTTGTGGAAAAAACTCGGCAGGTACACAATGCGGCGTCCCGCATTGCTTCACCACGAGCTGACAGCGTCTTCGTTGGGCAATGTCTGTCAGTCGTGCATTGCCCCCCTGCCTGCGGAAAAGTGGTGGGGTGGGGTAAGACCCTTTGTCCAGGGTGGGACACACACACACACACGCACACACACACAATCACACACATACACACATTAGAAATGTTCCCCTTTCAAGCGCGAATGAGCAACTGAGGGGGGTTCTAAATGTGTTCAATCAGCCTGCATTGTTGAGGAGAAGCAGAAGAAGGAATATGAGCGAAGGGAAAAGGAGAGAAAGAAGAAGCGAAAAGAGAAGTTTAGGGAGGAAGAAAGGCCGCTTGCATTTGCGTAATTTGCAATCATTCGTTTGCTTGTAGTTGAACTTGACTCAACTGCAAACAGCGTGTCGCTTGGAATGTCAGATTTGTGATTTGTTTAATCAATTGAATCGACCCAAGGATACAGCTGCTGTACAAGGACATTTGCCAAGGGGGGCTGTCATAATCCAACAGTCCGAGGAATCCTACTCCAAGAAAGTTGTCAATATTTTTCAATCACATGAAACACAACAACTTCCTGATTTTGCAACTCGGCCTGGAGACAATGTAAATATTCAATAAAAACATATAAACGTATGATAGGTATGCTGCAGAAAATGCGCTGCCAAAAGACAATTCAGGAATGGAAAAACGATGAAAACAACATATTGCTGATTAATGCCCCGACAACGGAATATGACTGTAACCAGTTTCGGGTAGAAAAGGAGCGCCAGCCGAGTCAGTGAGACTGAGTCAGTGTATGTGAGTGTCGTAACTCTAGCGTGTCCAGCCATGGCGGATCGTGGCCGGTCAGAGTGGGAGTCGCGGCGTCCCTTTTTCTACAAGTAGTTTCTTTGTTACTCGTCGTAATGCACTTGCTAGCGATGCTGCGATGCACTTTTGTTCTTCGCACGTCGCCAGGAGATGGAAGAGGCCAAGAAGTTGACCTGGGAACAAAAGGTCCAAAGGGTCGGAAGCTCAGAGACAAACCAACGGGTCGAACGCTACGGTCCGCGGCGGTCCGCCGGAACGAAGGAGGGGATTCTTTGGCTTCAAAAGTCCAGAGACCCATTCAAGATGCTTTTTGGGCCTTGAATACTATATCTTTATATTAAGTAATAGGTTCAAGATCAATTGAATGCAGACATTTACATAATGATTTGGTTGTTTCCTTCATTCATGCACTGGGCACCAGGAGTGGTTTGCCTTGGAGTTTGCTCCGCCGGAGGTAAAGGACCGACAATATGTGCGTATTGGCTAGCGCACGGACTGCATGCACGCCCAGGTTCAGAAGGGGAAAGCAACAAAAATAGACAGGTGTGACACAACATTAAGCGATCCTGCTCTAGAGGTTCTGGGAACAAGGTTGTATCTCATGAATGTCAATGATGGCTTTTCCAAGAATGTCAACGTTCTGTGTTCTTCCAAAAGGCTTTCTGACTGCCACAGTGAACAAACTTTGGCAAGGACGATCGAGCTGTGGCGCCGAAACCTGAGTTTGGACATGTTTGGACTGTCTGATGTGGCGGCTGAGCTTGAACCAGCAGGAGCTGCAGCATGCCGCAGGAACCTTTTGCTCTGTTGTGCGTAGGTACATGCCCTTGTTACTAGTAGCTTCTTGCTACTAGTAGCGATGCCCTTGTTACTAGTAGCCAGTCTTTTTGTAGCCTCTGCAGGGCCGCGCCAAGGATTTCAGCCATCAACCAGTCCGGGTTGGCCCTGCAGCATTGCTCGGTTGACATTCAGGAGGACACCAGGAAACAGTTCGTTTGTGTCCTTGTTATGCTTTGTTGCTTCGGAGCGAGCTGCATTGTGCAGTGCAGTTTGCAATGCTGCTAGGACAAAGAAATGATCCTCCTGGCCTGTGCCAACAGCTTCGGCGAGGCACACATACTCGAACCGTGCTCGACTGAAGAAGCCTCAGCCTGGTGGGGGGTAGGCCGCTCAGAGGTAGCCACTAGTGACGGATAGCTCACACACGATTCATTTGGTTCGATGTATTGGGACACTTCACTTGTTCTAGAGATACCTAATTACTGTTTCTGTTTAAATCGGTATAAATGATCTAGGTGAAGACCATCAGTCTGGTAGCAGACCTGCGTGTTGGGGAGGGGTCCTTGATTTTGAAACACACGCGGTTCATCGCGTTTCTAAGGCTTTATATAGAGTGCCACGCTAGTAGTAACAGGTGCCACGCTAGCAGTAACAAGTGCCACGCTAGTAGTAACAAGAAGCTATGCTTTACAGAATCTGGTTGATTCCTGAGCTCCGCACTTCGCATAGCTGGCTCTGTGGATTCGGCTTGAGTCTTTCAGAAAGATGGCTGGCTATACTGTTGGACACGCCACGCAGCTACTTACTTCCTTTTTCTTACCTCTTTTCCTCTCTCTCTCTCTCGCTACCCCTTCTACGAAAGATACAGTGGGTATTGCAGAGCCAAAACCAAAACTGCAACACAGCCAAAAACTGCTCCACAGCCAAAGGCTTTGAAGTTCGTGGACGATTCCTTCCTGAGAGAGCGTGATTTTATGGTCCAGGTGGGGGCATTGGCGGCAATGTCTTCTCCAAGTCCGCACTTCACTTGACAAAGGGAACAGTTGCCGACACAATTGCACCCCCTCTATAGGTTTTCCAGCAGGGGAGTGCACAGTATGTGCAGACCAGAAACAGACCAGCAACAAAAGTTCACACGTGTTTGATCACTGGAGCAACTCACCAGGCTGCAGAAGCTCATGTCCAAAGCCTCAAATACGCCGACATCGAACTTCGAGCCTCGGCTTTAAATCACCGGAACCGGTGATTTTCTTAGTTTCTTCGGAAACAGATTTGAGACATTTGATGTTTGATGAGTGATGGAGTGAACAGTGTACCAGTATCACTCATAAGACTATTCAGACTATTCATATACCTGGATGCAGGTATTTATTAATTTTATATTGTTGCGATATCTTGCAATTCAACACCAAAGTTAGTGATTACTGTATTAGATTTGTTTGCTATGCACGTGCTCTGAAGACTTTGGAGAAGCTTTCATCCGCTTTCATCCACTCTGTACGGTTCTTGATTCTGGTTTACCAACATTTTTCCTGGTGCTGAATTCCTTGGACAGCCGGATGCATATTATTCCAGCAAGTTCTGTGTTTTTTTCATTTTTGTTGTGTGAGTATAGCTTGAGAGGCAGTCAGAGAGGCACAATCTGGATGTTTACGAAATATCTATATTTAGTATATTATATCAGTGCTGCACAAACAATGATTGAGTAATTGCGTGCATTCAGACACTTAAGACCAATTTGGAACAACAGTCCGGCTGGCCCTTGCATTTTGAGAAAATTGTTCTGCTGGCGGAGCAAGGTGAAGATGCTGACTTCATCCGCAGGGGGCTCAGTCGAGTGTGTCGGTATCCACAAGAGCCACTCAGAGTCCTCCTTGCACAACAGCAACAATGACGAAGCCTCTCGCATGGGTACATTTTTGAAGCAGCTTTTCCTTTCGACATAATTTTGGGGTCTTGTTTGTCGTAGTTGACTTTCATGCATTGGAGCACAAAGCACGTGTGGGCTGTCAGGGGAATGCATGGAGAAGGCTAGCTGGCTAGCTTTGGGCTACGCAGACAAGGCGGGGACGAATAGTGGCGAATAGTGGCGGTCTTCACGGATGCTTCGGGCTTTGTGTGTGTGTGTGTCCGGTCCAAAGGAAAAGCTTCAAGCCTGTGTGCCCCAAGTTAGCAATTTTTGCCTGGACGCATGCAATTCAGCAGCACGACAAACGCATCGTAGTTGGTTGTCTCAAGGAACTGTACCAGAACTTGATTTTTTGTTGTTGCATGAGTCTGAGTCTTGAGCTCAATCACTGATTGACTTCTTCCACCGATTCATGAATCCAGTCGTGTGACTTGAGACAACTGCGAAACGGAAGGATCTCTTGAGAAATGAACGCCTTGTTCTGGAAGCAGTGCGTGCTGGCCTTTGTTCAGACATCACTGGGACATCATATCCTCCATAATATGGTTTGTTTGCGTGCGCTATGGCATGGCATGGCTTCTCATACTCGACTTGGAAGAATGGATGGCTTGTTTTTGTTCCTAATTTCATTATTTTGTTCATGAAAAGCTGCTCCACAAAGGCTCTCCAAGCGCTTTTCGGAAGTAGATCATATACAAAAGATAAGTAATATATTATATATATAATACTATTATGAAAAAGACACGACTGGAGTGTCCAACTGAGGCCTTGGTGGCTTGGCTCTACGATATGCTGCAAAGGAGGGCGGAGCCCGTGGCACAGATTCAACAAATGCACAATGACTACAACACCCAAAAGGAAACCAAACATACCAAATTTGTGACAGAGCTCTGCATTCCGGCAAGTCCATGCTTCGTGGTTCGTGATCCATCATTCTTGGAGCCCTAAGATTGGAGACGATTGGAGCCGGCTTAGGGATTTGATCCATTTTTGATCCCCAGGTCTTCATCGCGATTCATTAATATAGACTCTTTGTGCTCAGTCCCTCAACACAGCAATGGTTGGCAGCAACCTCTTCTCCTCTTTGGGAGACAGAGCCTTCAGGAGCTCCATGAAGACCACTACATTTGTCTCACAGCTGTGAAACAAGATTGGAGAGCCATGCAATTCGTGGCGCGGACACTCGCAGGGGCACCGCAGGAGGATGTTGTTGATTGTCTTTGTTTGTGGGCAAAAGTTTGCAGAATCGCATGAAACCTCTTCGATCGATTAGTGTTGATTTGATGGACCAAGAGATTCCCAAAGTACAATCATCCAAGAGTTGACCAACGAAGGCCAAGAAGCTACTCTACGACTTGGAGCTCGCTGCAGCGGCAGTGAAACATACCTGGCATGCAGGGAATCCCGGCCCACTTAGCAAACCAGAAGTTGGTTGGCCAATGTTAGTTGGCCAGACAAAGTAGGCCATCCAGAAGGAATCATGTGGGATTTGTTGCAAGGGCGGCCTCAGAGCGTATAGAGTCAAGCAGGCGCCTTTGGCTAGATCATGCTAGATCTAGATCTTGAATGCTCTTGATATGTTTGCATTTTGAGTCATCCCTCGTTTTGGGGTCTCGACGCACAAGTGAAAGAGAGGCATTTGCTTGCCTGCCGGAGAAGCTGCGCGGTGATCGGCACTTAGCCCACGACGCTGTGGCCCGGAGACCCACGACTCATGTGCTGCACATTACTACTAGTAGCGATGCACCTTGTTACTAGTAGCTTCTAGGTACTACTGTAGTAATAATGGCGTCCAACCTAATAGCGATGGCCTCCAACCTAGTAGCTTCTTGCTACGTACTAGTAGCGATGCCCCTGCTACTAGTAGCGGGGTGTGATTGGCTGTCGGCTGAGGATAGCATGGTGACCTTGGGTGGGTCGAAATCGTTCTCCACGCACCGAGGTAGACAGCTGGTGTGCCTTGAAGTACTGCTCGGCAGAGCCCTGCTGTCACATTGGTCAACATGCAAGTGACAACTGCAGAAGTGGAATCATGTTACAACATATTGCAACTACATGCAACTACAGAACAAATACACTGCAGAAGGCAATCAAAGTCGCAACAATTCGCAACATGTTTAGCTCCTTCATTTTTCGGATGTTCATGGACGGATGATGATGGGTCATAGGATTTGTGAGCTTCCTGAATTCTAGTTTCACCTTTCTGCGAGCAGGGTGTGCAAGCAGGGTGGGAATACAAAGAACACAAAGGGGAGAAGTGAGAGGGGATAGGATAAGAAGAGAAGACCCGTCAAAACACGGATGTTTAGAAGCATAAGAGAAGACCCGCCTTTCACCTCAAGATGTGAAAAGAACCAGGCAAGCATGCCCTATTTGTATACACTTGTTTGGGAAACTTCGTCCTGACTAGAAAGCGATGGGGTCCCCCAGATATGATATGAAGACACCAAGTCCCAACAAAAAAACAGGTTTTGTTTCGACGAGTCCCTGAGACTGCCAGGCTACGCGCTGATAGAGAGCTGGCGAGGGAAGCCGTCCAGCAATGTGGGGATTCCCAAGTCAGCTTGGAGTCCTGATATGTCCTAAGCCTATTGGGATTCCTGATGATTGCCACGGACATGCATTAAGTTCTACATTGAAGATCAAACGTGTCAAACACATGTGATGCTCCACGGCATGGATGGCACCGCAAGGGGTGAAGCTGAGTGTCCCTAAACATCTAGGAACCACATGAATAGTGCGAGCACTTCTTCAAGGAAGCTTCCCCTACCGCCTTGAGGGCGGCGGTGGGAGCTTCCTTGAAGAAGCGTCTTCGCTATCCTGCGTCCTGTTAGTAGTAGCTTACTTGTAGGTACTAGCTACCTCTCCCTACTAGCTATTTACCTCTACTCCCAGGCAAAAAGAAAAACAAACACGATACTATACGATACTAATAGCTTCTTGTTACTACTAGTAAGGCACTTGTTACTAGAAGCGATGCACTTGTTACTATTAGCTTCTTGTTACCCCCCCAGGCAAAAAGAAAAAACACCATGATAGCGTTTTGCCGTCGGCTGAAGCAAAGGCTGTCGCATCGCTCTGCTTGAAAGAGCTCCGGGTGAACGAGCTTCGCAGCTCCTCCCTCCCCCGTCCGATGGATCCATCGATGGGTTTTGTAGACAAATTGTTACTAGTAGCGAACATTGTTCCTAGTAGTAAGGCCAGGAGCCCCTAGTAGCGTCCTTGCTCCTAGTAGCGATGCCCTTTGCTTCTAGTAGCGTCCTTGCTGAGGCTGGAAAGCGTTGGAGATCATGGATCCGGCCTTTCTCAGCGACAGGGAATTCGCCATGATCGCCACACGCTTCAGACTTAGTCAAGCCGCCAAGTCAAGCCAATTTGTCTGCATGATCCCGTGATTCGGGTGATTCGTCGGCTTGCTCAAATCTCTGAAATCGGAATACATCCGCTTCAATGGCCGTTTCCTTCAGGTTTGTTCTTCTTTTTATTCATGGGTTTTCACACAAATGGTGTCCATGGTCCAAAAATTGTTGCCAATAGAGTGTTGTTTATGTCTTTTCTAGTGTCCTGGTTGGATTGATCTTATAATCTATAATGTTGTCAATCAGCTCATCATTCGATTCGTGGATGTTTATCGATGCAACGACATGTCCATCAGCTTCACAACATGGCCAACGCCGAACCGTCATCGAAGGGAGAGACTCGGTCGGCCCACGAACACAAGGCCACAAGGCGCAACTGCAAAATAGTAGCTAGGCCTCCGTCCAATGCATTTTGCCAATAGAAACGCACTTTAGCTTCCAGCTTTGTCTACGTGGCACACATTTTGAGATGTGTTGTTTAATTACTACTACATTTTGTGGTATGTATGTGCGAAAGATGTGATGTATGGCTCTGTATGACCAATGTGAATCAGGTTTCTCTCAACTGTCGCTGCCTCAAAAATTGAGCATCCGAGGTCAAAACCCCGAAGCCTTGAAGCTACTGGCGTCTCGCGTCTCAGCAACCTTTTTCCACATCCCGATGGGAATGGACACACCAAGAACCACAATATAATCGGAATCAATGAGCAAGTGGATTGTTCAGGTTCAATTTTCCTCTGAGCTCCATGAGCTAGTCAAATCCACTATATGAGTACCCGACAGAATTACTGTGAGTCAGCAGTAGTCTTCGGCTGGACATCGTTCTTTGAAAAAGTGATTTGACTGCAAAACCGACACCCAAAACATCCCAAAACCGATACCCCAAAAAGTTGTAGCTGTATAAGAAAACCTGAGACCGATAGGGTACCACCAAAATACATGTAAAGAGATGCCAAAACCTGAGAATCGATAGGGGTCCACCCAAATTATAAACGTCCTTTGCGGGTAATAAGTAATATTGTCCGACACTCATATATTCAAGATGATGGCCAATCAATGGCAGTCAGATTGGCAAACTTCTTTTCTTGACAAGATTTTGTGGGTGAAGTGTCCAGGGTTTTTGAAGGGGTTTGGTTCCAGTTCACGTACATGACTTTACTACCGTTACGACTGTAATGATGCTTTGTGGATAGTCCCAAGTTGTGGACAGTCCCAAGGTCCGGTGGGTCGAGAAATTTCCAACAGCTCATCTAACGGAATCTAGCGAGGGGTTGACAAACGAGGCCGGAGCTCATGGCAGATCGGGAGTTGATTGTGGAAGCTGTGCGTCAAGACTGGCGGGCCTGGTAGCTCAGCAGATTGGACGTGCAGGCATTTAAAAGTGCAGGCATTTGAAGGTTTGGAATTTTGGATGAACGTTGTAAATCTGTAGTAACTGTAGTAAGATATAGAAAGATTATCATCTTATCCCAACGCAAATGCCTGTATGTTTTCCTGTGAACACCGGTGTAACTGTATCAGTATCAGAATATATATATATGCCTCCCTCATGCATGTCTAAGTCAATACTATAGATAGGTCTACAAGCACTTCAAAGAGCTTGGCATCAAACAAAAACCAACCTTTACACATCAAGGAGTTTATGAATTCACTGTCAGCCTTCAAAATATAAATGTGACAAGTTATACGCAAGAGAACTTTCAAAAGGGAAAATGCATAAGACATACCAAAGCTTTATTTGACAAAACCCTCAATTGCTTAGGGATGATAAAGAAAGTTTGATTTAGGTGAAGGCCTTGACAATGTGTTATGACAACTTAAGCTGTATCAAAATCAGAGTCAGTAGAGAAAATATAGAAGAACGGTAAAGGAATTAATGTATTGCATGCCAATTTGACACATGCAGCTAATGTAGATATCTGGCACTATTATACAAACACACCAAAAGATGCTGACACAATTCGATAGACATTGAAAAAGGTAATTACACATAGATAATCTATGCTCGAGGAATGCATTAATGAATTTTATGACGCTGCTCTTAGGAGTGGGACAACTAGAAAAATGCTCTTGATAGGAAAAACGTGTGAAATTATGGGAACAGGTATTATATATTGACTTTAACAGTTCAAAACCAAGCATACGTGTTTATACCAGACATAAGTTATAACTGAACTGAACCAAAAGTTGAACAAAGTCAACTATACAATCCAAACACAGAAGCCAGTTCTACAGAACTTCAGTTGAGGGTTGCATTACAGTTGAGGATGAAGACACTTATAACAATATGAACCTAGCAATGTATAGCTTCAACAAGGAGGTATTTAACTCAATTCCAAAGTTATACTATTCAATTAAGACGAAGTTTTTAATCAACTGTGGAATGAGAAGTTATGATATATCCAATTCAAAAGGTCCCTAAGGCAATCACTGAAATTAATATTACAAGAGCATTTACACACATTATAAAACAATGAACATTTGTCAGTTTGATACATGGAAGTTATACATAAATGTGGTCGATTGTGACACGTTGACTAAGTGTACTTTCTTGTATGCACATATTTTTTTGGCAAATAGTGTAATGTTATTCAACAAAGATATATAATGTGATCTACCAGGCAATATGAGACAATTTTAAGAGAAGAGCCAAGATACTGGCATGCAAAGAACCCAGTAAAACTGACAATATTTATTGGTTACAGCGGTATTCAGAATCAGTTGATGAACACACACATATTTGATAATCAAGAAGAGGACACATTCAAAAATAAGTTGACAGGTGTTGTTAACTGTTAACTATGGGTTGCTGGAAAAGGACGCCTCAACATTTTTTGACTCAAGATGCCTAGAAAACGTTTTTCCAGCAGTCTTGAATCGTGAGTCCATATGTGTCGCTCTACCTTTTGTTTGTTTTTTTCTTCTCATAGACTACCAAAACCAAAAAAACAAAACTCTAAGATTAATCTTTGGTTTCAGCCTGAACATTTTTTTTTGTTTTCATTGAGTTTTTGTTTTTTGGTTTCATTCATGAAAAACCCAAAAAACCATATGTGTTTTTTGTTTTTGCTTTGGTCTAGACACTCACCAATGCCCAAAGACCAAAAAAAACACAAGGGTTGTTTGGTTTTCGTCTATATTTTTTCGAAACAAAAAAACAACAGTTCTTTTGTTGTTTTTGGGCATTGGTGATTGTATAGACCAAAGCAAACAAAAAACTTGTGTTTTTTTGTTTTTTCCATGAATGAAACAAAAAAAAACAAAAACTCAATGAACACCAAAAAAACAATATTTCAGGCTGAAACCAAAAATTCTCCTCAGAGTTTTGGTTTTATGTTTTTTTTGTTTTTGGCAGTCTGTGATAAGAAAACAAATGATCAAGAAATTTAGTAAATACGCGCAGTGAGCCTACCTTATTGCGTATGGAGACTACTTTATTTATTTAATTTAGTTTAATTAATACTTTATTTATTTTTTTCACATGATTCATCTTCATCACCTGCGGTTAAGGCTGGGGTGGGGGCCGGGTAACTCTCTGTTTGTATATGGAGTCCGGCCAAAAGCCTATAATCAAACAAAATAAGGGGTCGAAAGTAGCTTATGATGTTGTTTTTTCAATTAGATTATGTAGCGGGCCCCCAGCTAAACACACCTATTCTGCAGCTGGGCGCTAGGTTTGCGGTAGACTTGCGCTAGTGACGCTAGTGTTTGCCTTAGGACATGTTCAGAACGTCGTCAGGTTTTTGAAAAGTGGCTGGCTGAAAAATGCGCTAGCCGCGCGCTAGCACTGCGCTAGATCCGCGCTAGCAAACATTGCCAGATTCCAGCGTGGACCCTTCCGAGGCTGACTTGCAACATGTTTTTTTGTTTCAAGCATGACTTGAAGCTCGGAGATCAGCTGAAAACGGTGCAGCGCTAGTGACGCCTCTTACAACTTGGTGCCAATACTTGTTTGGTCAATGTTTCCTTCATTGACCAGCTGTGTGTGCCAAGAGTAAAGATTATGTAGCGGGCCCCCCATGTGAACACGACTTTCAGCCAGCTTTGGAAGAAGACATTTCGACCAGATCCCATACTTTCCGTTTTACAACTTACAATCATATATGCAACATGAAAAAGGTAGATCTTTGGGGGGGTACCATATATATATACATATCAGATGGTTTTTTTGAGGCCATTCCGGACTCGTTGATTATGAACCAGATTGCACTTGGTGAGTTAAGCATGTAAGTTGCGCTTCTGAGCCCGGATGTTCTCGCGATACTCGATCGCTTCAAGGTTGTTCACCCAACCAAGCACTAATTGCTATGACGTATGCAAATCCCAATTTGAACGTATGGACCGATTGGAAATAAAATGGACCGATCCGAAATATTCGCAAATGTTCATTCCTGACGAATCCGCATTCTCGAACGCAGAATCATCCAGTCGGTCAAGACGCCATCAGGCCTGGAGCATGGCTTCAGTGGAGCTGCGTGATGATGAGGAGTTGCTGAAAATGGTCACTTGGATCATGACTTGGTTGTTTGGTCATTCGGGATCATGTGTACCACCGTGTTGACCACGTGCGGAAATTCCGTGTGGACCATGTAGGCCCAGCGGCTTCAAGGTGGTGGGAAAGAGACCAACGCCTCATGAGATAATATACTAGATTCAATAGATTCCGTTTAAGACACCCACTTGGAGGAGTATTAAGCCAACAAAGTTTCTATTCTGACATATTCTGACAAGCTTTGACACGCAGGCAATGGATCAAGATGTTCACGTTGGGCACCAAGTCTTGAAGAGCTTGGAGACTTACAAAGCTTGTCTACATTTGAGCTCAAAGCTTGTCTACATTCTTAGGGGACTCATCGGGCCAGAACTCTTCCTAGCAAGATGATACGACTCTCTGGAGACCATCACGTCTACAAGTGGACCAAATGCGCCGCAAGTTCTCTCTACCCAGGCATTGGAATTTGCGTCAGAACGACTCAAAGCGGAGATCAGCAACATCAACACCGCGATGAGAACCTTGGTGAAGATGAGATGAAAAGTGAGAAAGTGCTTGAAAGGTTTCGATTGCAACATGCCAGTTTGAGGTACTGTAGTTACTTCAGCTGCAGTGTATTCTTTTGTATTTTTTTAATATTACCTCTTTCGAACTTCCTTTCTAGATAAGATATCCAGTGCCTCAACCTCTCTCTCTATCTCTCTCTTCTTTCTCTCTTTGTATTCTCTCTCAGGAGCAGATTGGGTAGCGGTGCAGCATGGCGTTCAACCTCTCTTCCCAGAGTGGGAACATGATGGGCTCGTGGCCTCAGTTGGTGTTTGACGGCTGGTTTTACAGCCTTTTGGAAAGAGATGATATGCGTTTACAGGTGTTGATTAGGCCAGATCTAGGAATAGATGTTGTGGCCCTTCCAAGCAATTTCGCTTCACAGCATGTTTGTATGTTCATTTCCAATGCAACCACATGCTGAGCACTTCACTGCAATATACTGCAATCCTTTGCATTTTGTTATAGAAGCGGTGTGTGACGTTTGGTGGAGCTGCTCTGCCTTGTCCCATTTTTCGCTGGGAGAGCGGGAAACTAGACGTTCTTACGTCCTTTGGAAGCAGGCACTGATGGGCCCGATCGTAACTTTTCGTAGACGGAACCCTGGAACCTGGCTAAGCCAGCGGCTTTCACCGCAAGATTCGCTTGGAACTCTGAATCTTTGGATTCCTTTGGATCTAGGTTTTTTGATGGCAGCCCTTTCGCTTTTAGAGTTTTTGATGGCAACTGTTTGCCTGGAACCTGACTCGGGAGGCCTCATGAGCTTTCCTAGCCGCTACTTTAGGGTCTATGTCTTTGACCACCCTGAAATGGCTTCTTGTTACTAGTAACCCTCACGCAAGGCTGAGCCATCCGTACTGGATCTCCATCACTGTGCATGGCCCAAGCATGGCGTGGTTGTTTTGCCGACGAAGGAAGACTGAAAGGACCAGACCCATGCTGATCGTGAGTCTGAGCGTGACTGCGGATTCCGCAAAGTTAGCGGCTCTTTATTTGAAGCATTTTCATCTTGGTCCGACGGAAAGGACTACGTAAAAAGGCAATAGAGGTATCACACACACAATTGTGGGGGGAGGAACTACTGGGTATGGACAATCGCAGCTCCAGATTTTTGCCTTTGTGTGGGGTCACAAAAGTATGGTGCTGCTGACAACACCATGCTTGTCGTATTTGGCCTTAATTACGGTGCAAAGTTGTGGGATAATGCCAAGTCCAGGAGTGCAGTAGTAGCTTACACACATCAACCAGTCCGCACCAACTTGCTTGACTAGCCACTAGCCTTTGAGCAAAGCGGCCTTTGTGAGGCTGGGCCTGGCAAGGAAGTACGACGACGGAAAAGGCCTGGCTTCAAGGCCTGGCTTCGACGGCGAAGAAGATGGTTTCTGATGGCGACGTCGGAAACATGGGTGTGAAGCGGTACTGTATCTTTTTCTGCGCCATGCGTGACGGAGCACTCTTGCTTGAGTGGTGGATTAGGGACACGTGCTGAAGGGAAGACTTGATTGAAATTGCAAAACGCATGGACGTGTATGAACATGAGATGAAACAAGCGGGCCATGTCGGCGCTGGCAACGAGTCCTTAGTTCACTTGACATTGATCGATAACCTTTTCACCTCGACTCTCCTCGTCGATGTGGCGTGACAAACAACGAAAACGAGGACAGAAAGAATGATGATCTTCCAGAGCCCTGCAAGAGAACAACGAAGACCACCGTGGGATCCTTGCTGCGTCACCCGGACCGGGGGTCCTCCATTCTTGGGGTACTGTATTCTTTGTTCGCAGAGTTATCCGCAAGATGGAGGATACGAGTGTCAGTGTAGTTTGACCGATATATATATATATATTATAAACTCATTTATATACGCCCTGAATGTGTAGAGTGATCATGCAAAAGGGGCTTGGGTATCAAAGCCTTTGCATCACTTGGTAATCGCATTGCAGAGTTGTTTATCAGATTACATAATATATATATAGCTGTAAATGTTTTACCGTTCAACAATGATCAGGTGTTCAGCAATTCGATGCGAATAACGGTGCAAAGCCTACTGCAGCACGCGCGGTGACCCTTTGGCACCCTAAAACTAATACCCCGGTTGATCAGGGGGGGTGTGCTCGGTGCATCCTGGTACTATGTACAGCATGGCAGCATCACAGCAAAGTTTCCTCAAGTTCCTCAAGGTCTGTACAAGACTTTTGCTGAGGTTGTAACCACCACGGTGACGACGACGACTGAAAGCACTTGATGGCCTGGTGAAAAGCACTCAGCGCTCATGCAAGAATGGCAAGCAGACACATGAAAGGCAGCTTAGACTAGTAAGCCCATTGATTTTGAGTTGATTTTCCGCTACCTGCTGACCCATGGTCAGTGTTCCCATCAGTGTTTCAGCATTGTGTAGCTGTCTCACGCCAACCATGGAAGTCGTGGTGACTGCGATTTGAACGCTGTCACTAACTATCAACGGTCCACATCAAGTTTTGCTTTCACCAGTTTCCAGTGTCAAAGTGGAAGCTATACTATGTGACAACCCCCCATACAGTATAACATAATTGATAATTAAGTGGAATTACATTATTCTTTAGTGTTCAAATCGTGATATGCTGAGTCGCATGAATGTGTGACAAGCGGTGCCACGAATGTACAAAGCCCATGAGGTTTCACCTGTAGGAATTAGCCAAGCAGTCCAAACAAATTGGCTTACAGCATCTTACAGCTCTTTGATTGAGAAGGGAATCCGATTGTCCACAGGACAGTTGACATGAGATAAGACCAGTGTCTATGCAACCAGTGAATGAATGGCTTTGGCATGCTTTTCCGCATTTCTTTGTCCATGTCCATGTCTCTGGTACTTTGTAGCGCGCCTTGCGCAGCACACAGCTGCGCCTACCATGTGTCTTGATAGCACCGGCTGGTTGGGAGAGATCATTTCTGAGGTTTGCAGGCTGTCATGGGATTGTACGTACCTAGCGAAATGCGCAGCATGCCTTTTTGCATTTTTGTACTTTGGTACTTGCATGCTTTGGAGCTATAATTGGGATGTATATATTTTTTTGAGATAGCGCCTAAGGCCTAGCCAGTGGATGTCTCAATATACTCGGTTTCAAGACTCCTTTGAGTCCAAACCATGTTGTTTTACCTGCAAAATCAACTTGGCTGAAGAACCTGGGTCATCTTGAGCGGACGAAAACATGTTTCAGATCCATTGTTTCAAGGGGGGTAGCTCGATAATTAGGTACGTAGTTCTAGGTCTAGGTAGCTAGTAGGGAGAGGTAGCTACGGTATTACCTGCAAGTAGCTACTACCTAGGACGCAGGATAGCGAAGACGCTGCTTCAAGGAAGCTTCCTTGAAGAGGTTGCAATAATGATTTGGTTCCTAGTAGCGTACTTGTTCCTAGTAGTAAGGCCAGGAGCCCCTAGTAGCGTTCTTGCTCCTAGTAGCGATGCCAGGAGCCCCTAGTAGCGAACATTGTTCCTAGATTTTTATGGAAGACTTCAGACTTCAGCCATGTCTATGGATCCTGCTGGGAATCTCACTTATCTCTTCAAAGGGTCGGGGTCCAAATGCCACGGGTGACCTCACTGTGCAGGTCGCGAAAGGTGGGGAGCCGAGTTAAAGTGATCCCACCGGTCTCTGGGTGGGTGGAGAACCATGTGGCGTGCACTGATTGGATTCTCTGTGGTATCCATCATGAAATTTGTATTGGTATAATGTGGTCATGCTTTTTGAGAGGATTCATTTCATTGAACTGATTGGACGGTTTGGGCATCGGGATGTTCTTGCAGCAAGCAACATTGCGACAGGTTGCTGTGGCCGTAACCGCCCTTGCGGTCAGAACTTTCGGCAACTTGGACCATCAAAGAAGCATTGCGAGTGGCGTCATGATGGCTGCATCAGTTTGGGCCTTATACTTGTACTTGCGTGGTAGGAAGTTACATAGAGCAATCCCAAGTGTGTTTCAGGTGAGCTCGTGACTAATTATATAGATTCTTCGTTGCTTGGATTGGCATTCAGCGACGCCCATCCAAGGCATGAAGCGACTATGCTTTGCAGGTAGCGCCCCAACTCGTGCAGCAGGTCGGATGCGGGGAATATAGGGGGAATTCTAATGACCAATTGATTCACCTATAGGCCGCCTCGGATCCTATAGGCTATATCAGGGGTGGTGGAGTCAGAGGTGGCTATTTTCAGCTTTTGTTCCTTTGTGTGAGAAATATTGGTAGCAAGGTTGGTTGGATTGGGTCGATCAGCGGAATTGGGTCAATTGGGTAGCTATTTTCTTGGCCGACAACCTCCAAACTCCAAGGACGCAGTGGCATGCTGTTCTGACATGTGAATATCGAGACTATTCAAGAAATAGGCTTTGCACTTATGTATACTATTGAATGCCGTATAATTGCATATGCCTTGCTTCGCCACCTCGTGCTACTGGTATGAGACGATTATTGGAAGGTCCTAGGTGACAAGGAGTCAGCACCCTCACCACCCCTGGCCACTAGTCAACAAGAACGCATGCAAAGAGAATCATAAATCGTCAGCAGGCCGGCGAGGCCGCATCAGCGCGATTCGTGCGATGCCTTCGGATGCCTTTGGCGGCAGCGGCATCACTGGAGCCTCTCGGAGGAAGCTGGGGGTGGATAGATAGGGGATGGCTTATTTAATTATTCCAGGGGACCTGTGGGATAGCGGAATAATTTTTTTGGAATAATTTTGGTGGATTAATATTTTATCAAAGGGCTAGTCATAGGGCCCCCTGGAATAGTTTTCAAGAATACTCAAGTTGCGACGTTTGATGATCTGAAGTCAGCAGCTGGACGCGAGTGAGAGGCTCAAACAAGAAACATCAAGAAACAACAAATATATATAAGGATATATAAGGAATACAAGAAGCTAGCAATCGCTGGCCATGTACAAAACCAAGGAAAACATAGGAAAACCAATGTTCAGATTTAGATTTTAGATTGGCAGCATTTTGCAGCCATGTCGAAGTCTTTCACAATATGGCGATTTGATGATAAAAACGGTTCATCAGAATGAGTCAGATTATGTCAGATTGCTCTTGCTGTGTGAGTCGCTGTGTTGATATGTTTTTTATATGAAGATATAGAGAAAGCTAAAAAATATTCCTGGAACTCAACCAGTTACCAGAATAATTCTTGAAAACTAACTCAAGGGGGGTCAGAATAATTTTAAATTATTCCTAGGGTCTTTCACAGGGGGGGCCCTTAAGCCCTCCCCTATGTGGATAGCTTGAAGTAAACACCCAGGTGATTCAGGGATTTTTGGATGATTGATGGTGGTCCTTCTCGAGATGCCTGACACCAGAACGATGACCAGGACCAGGACCTTTGTATGCACTGACAAGTGACCGAAAGGAGGGCAGAGGAGAAGAACCAAAAGCACCTCAACCTTCTAAAGTTCAAGTCCCATAGCTTGGGTTTGCATTGTTCAACGTGCCCAGTTTGTGTAGAGTTGTTCGACTTAGGGCCTAGGGGAAGCATACCCCCAAAGCATACCCCCCAAAATACCCTCGCGTGTACAATATATTATTGTATATTTATATACTGTATATAATATATTTATATGTAATTATATACATACATAGTATTATGTATTTGTATCATTACTTAAATAGGTTGAATTGTTATGTCTAATTAGAACATTTATAGCATTGGAGATACACTTAGTCACGGTCCAGGACCTCCGAGCTTGGTATTTTCGGTCCAAGGCCTCCTCCCATGGCTTCGCATCCTTTGCCGCCGCCATGGTTACAGTATCTCGACTGACTCGACTTCACCGGTCCTTTTAGATTTAATTTTAAATTCAGAACAGGGCAAAGTCGGGCGAAGGGTTTTAGTTGAGATGCAATCCCTCCATACACACAGCTCAATGATTCCACTGCTGAGAAGAGTAGAAGTCAGGGCTGCAACTTACACGAAATCTCTTCCTTCTATTCAATGTTTTGGTCCACAAAAAGACAACACATCAAGGACACATCCCATCAACTTTCACCAGCATCGTGGGTGGGAGATCTATGGTTGGCATGGTCGGTCGGTCGGTCCATGTCTTGCAAAAGCACCGAAAACTCTCATCCTTTCATCCACACCTTCTCTTTCACTGGCGTTCAGCATGTGGACCCTTTTTGTTCTTCTGACCGAACACGGCGCCACTTCCGGGCATCCTTTCAACCACTTGGCTACAAGAAATGGGGCTCCACCGAACCTAGATCACCACCAACAGCTGCTTGCAATGTTCCTCCGGTCAACTGCCCACCATGTCATGTTGTCTAAACAAACAAGTTGTTTGTTTTTTTGGTCCATGCCAGGACTTCAATCAGTGGCCAATGTACTGATAAGACAATCTTGGTTTACTGGGACTGGGGTGGTGTTATATGTTCAGTATTTGTGTGAGTCTAGCTGGCGTCATGATCTAGCTTCAAGCCACTTTCGAATAATACTACTTGCAATATGTTTACACTATATATATATGTATTTGTATATGATGATCGATCAAGAATCATGGCAGTTGTCATTGTTCAACCATTCCAGACTTGATTCGGGTGATCTTGGTCTTGCCGCCATGACTTTGGCTTAAATCATGGACATGTACTTAATAGTCAGACATGGAATGAATCATGGCCGCAAATGGGTCAAAGCTGTGTGCGAGGTGATGGGATTTTCAGCCGCAGCAAAGCCTGTGTGAAGCTCAGACAATTGAATGCACAAAATGCCAAGCCCAACACCAGTCAGAAAGCAAGCTGAGCAGCACTTTTGTAGAGGTACACCAGCTCGAATACATTTCCAAAGAGAAGCGCTCTTTTGTTCGACTTGACCGAGACTTCCCTTACCAACGGCTCGCCGGCGCAGAATTTGGCCACCACCGAAGTCAGGCCCACGCGCAGGGTGAAGAACGAAGATACAGCCTGCCAGACCAGGCTGGAGCGGACAGTGGATAGGGTCGGTTTGTGGAGCTAATGCTGAGCATTGCGATCACGAATAAAAGGGAGACAATCACCACGTGTCCCACAAAGGTCTTTGAACATTTTGCAGATACCAGTTTACTGATTTGGAATTCTTTAGATTGAACGATTGTGCATGCACGAGTTTCTTCTGGGAATCTCGACAGAGATCATTCAACGCCCGTGGTAGTTGAGTGGGAGTTGGATTTAGACCATGTGAAGACCATTGGGTAATCATTTAAGTGCAGCATCCAGCATGAAGTAAGGATGCTCACATCAAAATTAGCTTGGTTTGCCTGTCTTGCTAACCTGGTGGAACTGCCAAAAGCCACGTATCACTTCATATATGATGTTGTTTTTTTCTTCTTGCGACATGTAGTCACCACAGATTTTACTGAGTTTGGACTTCTATCAGATTGCTAGAATCGCTTCAATTCAAGAGTCAAGGACCGCTACAG